TGATAACACGAGGAAACTAATTTGATTATTTTAATATCCTAAGATACAAAAGACAAAAGTCTCATAAAAAGACCACAATTGCGGAAAGGACGTACTTCTTGGCAATGCCGCTTTGCCAGCTGTACACAATCAGCGATGGTGCTGAGGCTGGCCTTGCTTTCAAATACCTGGCGGCGGAAGATGCTTACGAAAGACTGGAGCTCTTGTTTGGACCAGATCACAAAGGCTGGAAAGAAAAAAAGAGACAAGGGAGGCCATTTGTTTATTTGTTGCACAAGTAAACGGGATCCGACGTCAAGATATCTCATAAAGGAATGAAAAAAACCCACTTTTAATTTAGTTTTAGTAGGAGTTTAACAGCATTGGCAACACAATAAGGTCATATAAGTGCTGAAGATTAGAGGTGTCACAAAAGAGTAACAAAAGCAATAATGAAGGAGGAGAGATAAGGATGATATATACATGTTTGATAGGAAAGAAGGAGCAAACCAAACCAGAGCACCCACCAACCTCCCACTAAAGTAACACTACAATTAATGTTTGTTCATTTTTGTTTGTTTGAAAAAAGAGAAGCAATAAATTACATCAACATACTAACAGTCATTTAGTGCAGGGGGAAAAACAGACAGACAGACAGACAGACAGACAGACAGAGAGACAGACAGACATACAGACAGACAGACAGACAGACAGACAGACAGAACCGACCAGTGACGTGCCCTTCAACTACCCGCCTACTAGTAGAGATGTTTTTGTTTGTTTTAGTAGAGGTTTTACGGCGCTCGCAACACAATAAGGTCATATAAGTGCCGAAGATTAGAGGTATATACAAGAGAGTAACAAACACAAAAAAGAAGGAGGAGAGATCAGGACGATAGATGTTTGATAGGAAAGAAGAAGCAAACCACACCAGAGCACCCGCAAAACCACCCACTAGTAGAGATGATAGAGCAGAGCCACAAACAACAACGCCATTAATGAGTAGCTCACCTGAGAAGCAGCCGTGGTGCCCCGGAAAGGCTTTGATAAACTCCTTTGCCGTGTCCGAGAGGGAGGAGAAAAAGACGCCGCACAGACAGCGGATGTACAGAGTTGTGGCCCCTTCAAACTTGAGCTGTCGGATGTTGTACTTGATGATGGCGCTGCGGTTCCTCAAGAACAGATCACACGCCTGGCAAGACAAAAATAAAAATGGTTTGGGTTTTTTTGGGTGCTTTTTTTTATGTATTTGTTTTTATGCAAACATTGTCTTTTTTTTGGCTGTTTTTTCGTTGTTGTCTTTAATGTATTTTAAGCAAACATCGACGACACAATTTAGATCATATAGGAGGCACGCTTCGGACCCTGCCTGTCAGGGCCAACCCGGGTTGAGAGGGATGCAATTTCCCAGTTGTTGGGGTTTTTTGGCTCTCCTGTAAAATTATAAAACCTGCATTTACTGTACTTTTAAAAATAACGGCAGATGTCACCAAAAATAGGCACATCAAATTTATAAATTTTCACCTCATGCCATTTTCTTCAACTTTAATGTGCCTTTTATCATTACATATAGAACAAATTGTACAATTGTACAAACCGAACCTAAAAATTTCGTGTATTTATCTGTGTCCCTAAGGCTAAAAATTCGAGAATAAATTCTCTTCGTCAGCGCTCCTCACAATCACATTCTATTTATAGACATCAGAATGCGAAGACTGACCTGTGCTGATCTCCCGAGCCTGATGAGTTGTGTGACAGCCCGACGGGCAGCGCGAGGACCACCGCGGAGTGACCGCTCAGGGGACACCTGGAGTTCGTTCATCAGTCCGTCCGTCAGTTGTTTGACTCTGTGCTCTATGCGGGCCCTGTAGAGCAAACAGCAGAAATAAAAAACAAACAAAAACAAAATAAACCTAAAAAAAAAAGACACAAAACACGACGTTTGACATTCAACTGTGACTGCAAAGAGCTGTTTCAACTAACAGAAAAGAAGTTTTAGTTTTAGTAGACGTTTTACGGCGCTCGCAACTGCATAAGGTCATATGAGCGCCAGAAGAGTAGAGCTGTTTCAAGAGAGTAACAAATATTTTTAAAATTTTTTACATAGGGGAGATAAGGACGATAGATGTTTGATAGGAAAGAAGAGGCAAACCACACCAGAGCACCCCCCAACCACCCACATAGAAAACAAAAAAAGAAACAAAAAAGACCAAACTACTCTTATCCGTCCTGCGTTGATTACTTTCGGTACAAACACCACTAGTGACTAACTATGACAAAGCAGAGTACAAACCTGAACTCCTTCAGAGCTGGTCCCTTTGGGCATTCTGTGAGGTATTCGTTCACTGTGACAGACAGAAATACAGCATTTCAGAACCCATTGTCAAACAGTTTATAGTTTTAGTAGAGGTTTTACGGCGCTCGCAACTGCATAAGGTTATATGAGCGCCAGAAGATTAGAGGTGTTACAAGAGAATGACAAACATAAAAAAAGAAGAAGGGGAGATAAGGACGATATATGTTTGATAGGAAAGAAGAAGCAGACCACACCAGAGCACCCGCCAACCACCCACATTTTGAAACATAATTATAAACTATAATTTCATTATTGAACTCCATGTTTTTTTTCTTATTCATAGAAATCATTTAATGTTTGTTTCTCGTGGTATCTTTCACTTTATATATCATTCTTCAGTTAAAACTTTCCTTTTTTTTTCCAAAGCCAAGTGGAAACTATTATATATAGATTCACTGTGTGTGTTGTGATAGTCTTACAATGCATGTTTTCTGCCTCTTTACTTTTTTTTTTTTTTCAAATGATAATTCTTTACTGTACAGCACTTACAACCTTCTAGAGACCAAGCAAGCTATAAATTCACATTATTATATAATTATTATTATCAAAGAGTCCAACGATTCCGTCATGCTTGTGAAATTAAAAATTTTTATACGCCAAATTTCTCAAAACTAGGAATTAAAAATAGCCTATGGTAGAACCTTACACCATGCTGTCAATACGTTCAGAAACAGACACAAACTCTGCCACCCCCGGCCCACCTTTCTCTACTTGGTCAACAGCCCCTTCAAAATTCCGCTGAGCGATGTACATATCCAGGTCTTCCGGCAGCTCCTCTAACCAATCAGCTTGCAAGAAATCTCTGTCCATGGCCACAGGCTCCTCTTCCACATCGTCCGTGAAGCCTGCAGAATTACTTGATTATTACAATAACAGCCGAAAGCCAACATTAGAATTACAAAGTTCTATTTGACATTTTTGGCTGTCTTGAGTTACTAAGACCATGAGGTCAGAAACTAAATGTTCTATCTGCTCTATCAAAATTGTAAGATTATTCGGTGTCTTTATCAAGATATTCAAAGAATTGCACTCGAAAAAGCTTGACATGTGAAACAAAAAAATTTTTTGGAGTCAAATATCTCAAAACTAGGAAATGATAGGAAAACAACATCAAATAGTGGACTGGCCGTGACTGGAACATTCCAGTAGAATTCTGAGAACTGAGAGGAGGGAATGAAGCTGGTAGAAAATGGGTTAGATCAAGGTGAAGGTATAAGAGAAGGTGAAGGTGAAGGTAAAGGAGAAAGTGAAGGTGACGGTAAAGGAGAAAGTGAAGGTGAAGGTGAAGGTGTAGGTGACGGAGAAAGTGAAGGTAAAGGAGAAGGTGAAGGTGAAGGTGAAGGTAAAGGTGAAGGTGAAAGTGAAGGTGAAGGAGAGGGTGAAGATGATGAAAGTGAAGATGTACAAGAAAGTGAGAAGGGAAAGTTGAAGGTCAAGGTGAAAATGATTAAAAACTCTTACTCTTGGACATGTCCGCTTCCCCCGGGGAGGCGAGGGCGGCTTGCAGCTGTTGCTCTGCTAGTCTCATCGCAGCCTCTTTCTTCTGCTTGTCCCGGCTCGCCTTCTTTTTCTTCGTGTCCTCCAGAGCGTCAAGCCACTGGCGCTGCGAAGGGACAAGACAAGAGGGGATGACTCAAGACGTGCGTGTAAATTGTGGCCTCATGACACTCTTGAGTAGTTGAATCCCGAGTTCTACTGTACTATTAGTTATACATTATTAACTCTTTAAACTCTGAGCTTTTCCCACCGTTTCCCGGAGTTTTTTCTACAGTCACCTAAGCCTGGTGCGCTATGTCTCATTATAACCCCAAAAGCTTGCCTCCAACTTCTAAGTGGCAGAAACAAGCAAGGCTTTAGTCACTACTAAAAAACTTGGATCGGGAATAGTTCCCACAAACAAGAAGAAACTAGCACTAAATCAAACGAAAAAGTTGTCACTAGTATCGGATGCTCCCAACGTCCGATGAGGTTTAAAAGAGTTAATCACGACACATACCTTCGCCTTTGCCGTGTCAGTCTGGTACATGTGCGACTCTGGGAACATGAGGATCTTGAATCCGTTCTTGACAGGGCCCGTGTCCCTGACATTGACCACAGCCAGGCCGTCCAGCTCGTAGAGTCCCACGAAGCGATAGCGCATCGGACCGCGCCTGTGGCACCAGAGGAGAGTTGATTACTGAGCAGTACAGTCGAGCCTTCTCTCATTGGTCAATAGTATAAGACAATCACCTGCACAAAGAGCTACTTCCCATTACAACCCCCTCTCCATCCTTGCACATTTGGGAAGAGGTTTTTTTGTTTGACGGGGTTGGGGAGTTGGGTTGGGTTTTTTTTGGGGGGGAGGGTTATATTATAATGACCTGTGTAGTTGTAGTTAAAGTTCTATGACATTTGCAACACAATGAAGTCCTATAAACGCCGAAGATTAGAGGAGTTACTAGATGGTGACATACAAAGAAAAGAAGAAGAAGAGATAGATGAGGACGATAGATGTCTGTTAGGAAAAAAGGAGCAAACAACACCAGTGAGCATTTTTTTAAACTTTGTTCATCTTATGAGTTTTAACAGATCTTCATCCGATTGGCTGTTCCTACTGGGGGAGGGGAAGTTGAATCATTGTCTAACCTCTACCTTACTGTGCTGAACGAAACCATATCCCTCTTTATACCCAGTGAGCATTGCTCATTTGATATTTTTTTTAAAATTTGAACTGGGAAGTTGAAATTGTTTCAGAATGCTATCAGGTCTGCTGGATATAAAGATAAAGATTCTAACGCACATAGAGCTTGCTGATGAGCGGGATTTGCGCTCGGCTATACAAATAATGCTAATATTATTATTACTATCATTATTCATTTGATACAGCAGCGTCAGCCAGAATCTTCCTTCCTGGGGTGGGGTAAAAACTGCCTTTTTGGCCATAATTTCATCCAATCCTTCACAAAGAACAGTGCTAAATTTGATAGAGCAGAATTTAATCAAATTGTGCCCCCAAAAAAAGATAGCTTTCGTCCCTCCAAGTACCAAAATCTGGCTGGGCTGGCCCAGTCATGATTCGACAAAAGAATTCAACTGGCGGTGCATGCTGGATGATGGGCATCAGGCTGACCTGTTGGGTATCCAGGTGGCGATCATGAGACTGTCGTTGAGCAGGAAGGCGTGCACACGCTGCAGCTGGGTGTGGCTCTCCGCATCCAGTTCCACAAGGTCACCGTCGTGAACGAGCTGGCGGCCGGGGACCTCTGCAACATTCTGCACAGGGAGAGAGAGAGAGAGAGAAAGAAGTAGAGAGTGGGAAACAAGACAGACACAAAGTGAGAAAAATGTTGTATAAGTCAAGCATGATGCACATGAATTCTGCATGTATTTTAGTGCTATTGTTGTGAGTTACTAATATTGTCTTGTAAACCCATATGCCATTGTAGGCTGCTTATGTATCTTGTAAAGCCCATATTCAAAATATAAAACTAACTGCATTACAACTGCCTGTTTCTTAAATCATGCAGATATGGACCAACTTGAAAATAATGGTATTTCACTTTTTTTGGGGTAAAAAGTTTAAGCAAATATATATTATATATATATATGGCTATTTTTAGATTAATACGTATTCGGCAAGCGACCAACTCACAGAGCAGCCTTCCACTCTCTCCAGAAGGAACGCCAGATTCCTTCGAGTCTCCTCCTCCGGGCTCTCCTTCTGATCTTCCTCCCCTTTGGGTCCTTCCACAACCGCTGAAATGCACAGCAGGAGAACAAAAGCTGACACAGACCAGCAAAGAAAGTAGGAGGCAAACAAAACAGATCGCAAAAAGCACCCTTAACTTACCCTTGAATTTACCCTTAATATACAGAAGGCTAGTCCTCCTTTGTAAGCAGCTAATTTTGTCATCCAAGTTTTCATTATCACAAACATCCAGACTGATTAGAGACAAGTAGGGGGCTCTCGTGGCCTAGAGGTTAAGGCGTTGGCCTCTCATTCAAAGGTCCCGGGTTCGATTCCGGGTAGCGACCAAAAAATTTTCTTCTCTAAAATTGTCTCCTTTCACATCCTTTCCTGATCTCTAACAATGTTCTGTTGTCTGCTTTCATTTCCACTTTCTGCCCCCACCCCCTCACCTCCTTTGCCCCCTCCTCTGGGCTCCTGACTCTTTCTGCAGCCTTTCTACTGCTACTCCTTGGCTCCTCCTAACTGCTGTCTTTCTGCCACACCCCTGATCTTCTGGTAGGAAAGATCTACACCTAGCCTTCTCGGAAAAGGGCGAAAAATCTCGGAGGGCCCGTGTGCAAGTTGAGCACGTTAAAGATCCCTTGGTGGTCTAAAATTGATAAGAGTAGGCTTCGGCCGTCACCCGGGCAAAATTCAAAATTTCCTACCAACGAAAAAGTATTAGGTGTGTCCCGCGCGCTCATATGACCTTATGCAGTTGCGAGTGCCGTAAAACCCTATACTAAACAAACAAAACAAGAGACAAGTAATTCAAGCAGTGAAAAACAAGGTATGATCATAGAAAGAAGGTGATTTTGCTGAGGTTTGGTTAATTTTTGTTATGACTGTAGGCAACCTAGCAATGCTGTGAGACAGCTGAACTGGTGCAGAATATGTAATAAGATAAGATAAGACAGGACAAGAAAAGATAAGACAAAATAACATAAGACAAGATCAGACAAAATAACATAAGATAAGATAAGACACAATAGGATAAGATAAGACAAAATAAGATAAGATGAAAATACATGTTACTGTCCAGATCCTGGCAAATTTGGTTTGGTGTTTTTCTAAATACTGTGAGTTTAAAAAAAGAAAAAGCACAAAGTGCAATGTGGCGAAAAGATTTTAAACATTTTTACAAAGTGGTGCTAACCCTGTTGGGTCTAAGTTTGTGGCCTGTAATCCTGATAATAACCACATTTTACTAGTAGCAGATTAAGACAAATGTCTAACGATGAAGGAGCATACAACTCCTGAGAATCCACTAAAAATCCCAAATAAAGACTTAAGTCAACTGAAAAGAAATTAAGAGAGAATTTTCTAAATGATTCTTCTGTGAAACTTTGAAAAAGAGAAATCGAGGCAATGAGTGAGTGTGTGTGTGTGAGAGAGAGAGGGAGGGATAGAGAGACAGACAGACAGACAGACAGACAGACAGACAGACAGACAGACAGACAGACAGACAGACAGACAGACAAAGAAACAGACAGTCAGAGAGACACGCACAGAGAAACAGAGAGAGAGACAGAGAGAGAGACAGAGAATTACACTAGAAAACTACACTGGAGATGAGCTGCTGTTCCATGTAAAAATCACTTCAAGCAAGTCCAGACTGGCCATTTTATTCTATCTCACCTCTATCACTGACAAGGGACATCTCCATCATGGAGCCCATCAGAGACTTTTGCTCGTTCAGCATGTGGTTCAGCTGGTACATCTCGCCCTCCAAAACTATGTAGGAAAACAGCATCATAATAAAGACACATGAATCTTTGTGAAGATACATGAATCTTTGTGACATTCATTTGAAAAAACTACAAACTTTTTGCAGACATTTCAAGCATGAAATATAACATCGACTAGCTTTTACGATAAGTACTAAGTCCCAGAATTTTTCAAATTCTATTTATAGCAGTTTCTTCATTTATGGTATCGATTAAATGTTCTCAAGGAATATTTTGGCAAAATTCATATATACTAAATATCGAAGAAAAAAAATCAAGAAAAAATACATTAAAAGTATAATTGTTAAAAGAATTGAACATCGTTTTTTTACTTTCATGGTTAAGTACATTCTGACAGCTTGCTGATGATAAGCTACATGATGATAAGCCTTCTCACTCAAACCACTTTAAATTCATCAACTTTATTTGCTGTTATAAAAGTTGTTCCTGCATCCGATCCGGACATTGGGGATTGCCTTGTTAGTGAGACAATTTCCTGGGCCTTCGGCATATACTGTGGTAGGGTGGCTGTTATACTTATCATTTAAAAAAAAAAAACAATTTTCATCGCATTTTATGCTTTCTCAACAAATAAATCTATCAATCTCTGCAAGTACTTCACCCTCAAAAGAGAAATATCGCAACAACGAACCTGATGAGCAAAGGACTAGCAAGTACTCTATCCCTAAAACTTATAATAATATAATAATCTGCCCCCCCCCATCCTGAAAGAAAAAAACAAAAAAACAAGTCCAACCCTGGCTCAGATCAATTTCTGAACTCAAAACACATTTATAATAGTTTTAATCTTCAGAAATTATTTAAACTCCACTATATTGCTTTCTCAATTTCAATTAACTTGATACTTACTGGATATTTCTCTAGCAGTTTCGATGAACTGTGAATAGTTTTTGTAGACATTTTGCTTGAGTGCCTTGGCTGTTTCATCATTGAGCATATGAACATTGGCTTTCATGTCAAGCAAGGCATCTTCTCCATCTCCAGACAGTTTGGCAATAACTGAAAAAAAAAAAGTTGTATGGAGGGGAAACATATTAAATAGGGAACATATTTAAATCTCAGGATAAGTGTAAAAGCATCCGTATCCTTCACCGTCTCAAAGGCAAGGCAGAGAACATTAATCAACACTCTCACCGCATCCTGTCTCCAGCATGTTTCAATGTTTTGCATTATAACCAGGCTGCAAGATGACATCAAATCATTAAATTCAAATACGGGATAAGGACTGTAAGGGTGCCTAAAAAACTGAAGTGAGTTTGTAAATGTATAAAATATAGATCTACATATATGTCAATGTCATACAATAGCATTATTAAATTGTGTACAGCAACATTAAAATCAGTCTAACCCACTGGAACTGAGGCCAAAACCAAAAAAACTTTGCTGCACTGATTCATTGAATTGGCAGCTAGAATTTCTTTAAAAAGGTGCTTTTCGCAAGGACACAACGAACAACGTTGTTAGGCCCCTGACTGAATTCAAACCCACGACCCTCTATGGTTGCAAGTTTGACAGTTCTCATACAGAAAATCAAAGTTTGTTGCAAGGAGAAAAGAAAAAGTACAGTTAATCTAGATATCTAGATCTAGAATCTAGATGTCTACATCTAGATCTAGACTAGAGCTAAAAGCTAAAAGAGACTAAGAAGTTAGAAGAACACCTCCTCAAATCTAAAGTAAAGCCTGAAGAAGCACAAAAGTGAAAACTGTCCATCTTTTCTTTAATAGAGACGAGAACTAGCCAAGAGTCTAAGTATACAGCAGACAGATGATGCAAAACCCAAGACGCAATCAGATCATCAACTTCAATCACAACTAAATCATGGTAAATCTATCCAGTCAGTCAAGTCTGCGTTGGACTTGAGGACACACCCTCCTTTTCCTCTTCTGATGAACCGGTCGAAACTTACATGTTTCTGCATCAAACTTGGGTTTGGAAAGAATCCTTGCTAGACCGTCAGCCATTTTGAAGAGAGATGAGAACTGAATAGGCTCAAAATTTTCTACTATTGTTAAGAGTTGTTAAAATTCAATGAGACATTTGATTGACAGGAGCTTGTACTGAATGCCGAGCCTCTTCCTATAATAATAAATATTGCTCCCAACCCGGAAGAACAAAAGAAAAGTTTTTTTTAAGCTTTCAACACAAATGAGTAGCTACCAGTTTGGCGACAATCAAATAAAAATCAAAGAGAGAGTTATTACTAAATTAGTGTTACTACAGTAGTGATAATGTTTTGTATTCAAATTAAGTTCAGGTAAAGCCAAATAAACTAAGTTTCCTCAATAATATTTAATCTACGTAATAGAGAGTGCCTATAGTGTACATCTATGGTTCATTCTGATTATGCATACCATAGAAATTGAAGAGTTTGTGAGACCTGGCATCCACACAGCGTTTTCCAAGGGAGGTGACTCTAATAATTTAAAAGGTGTTTCGTTGAGGACTTGGTTTCAACTGACGCCGGCTTGCTTGTTGTGATTATTATTATAGATCACAACTTTAAATGTAAGATGTCCTTGCACACACATATTATTAACTTAAGTTGATACAGGTTTTGGTTACTGCGCTTCAGGTATTACGATTTTGTGATGAAGTTGACTCCTCAGGCATCAGCTATGCCGCGTGGATCATGGATGTGATGATCAGTTCAGTTCAACACTTTTCACTCTCCAGGATCTCAGTGCCAGTATCCTATCAATCAGATCAGGACTTCAAATCCTTCGACATAAGAGAGCCTTGCTCCTGACCGACCCAGTTGGAAAGCAGCGATGACAGTGGCAGCAAGTCTTATGAGATTTTGCAAAATAAGAAATGCTGAAATCAAGAGAGAAGCCCACAAGCTGCGCACATCAAGTCACTTACATTACTTTAGTACTTTAGATTTAGATTTAGACACTTTAGTCACATCATGATGTTAAGTGGAATGCTCAAAATGTGGCAAAACTGTTCTCTTCCTGTGAATTAGATTAGCCCTATCATGATATATAGCCTGTAATTTTTGGCCATACATCCACAAGTCATCTAACCTTTAATTCTTTCATTGCTTGAGAAATATTCTCCTCTGCGGATACATTGGGTCATCATCAGACTTTGAATACGGACTAATTGTGACTTGTCAGTATTAATAGTATTATTTTATTGGTATCGTACCTTGACGTGTAGAGTTAGCCTATATTTATATATATATATACTATACTCGCAATTGTTTTGTCAGTTTTCTACTTATTATAAAAAGTAATTTTTATTATCACTTTTTTTATTTTTTATTGTCTTCTTTTCAGACTGAGCTGCATAAAACAACTTTTGAGACCCATAATTTATACAACCATTGATTGTCCCTCTCTTGGGCCAGGACTGACACAAAAATGGATGAGTTTGAAGTGAAGAAGCGAGAAACGATGTACAGGCTGATGATAAGGTGGGAAATATATATATTATATATATCTTTTTCAAACTTTACCTTGCCACTGACTTACTTTCACAAACACACACCCGCACAATTATCTTTGAAGTTTACAAACCTCCCTCCTTCCCCTCTTTGAAAAGTCGATTAACAGCAACCAAGTTTACCAAGGCCTGCTTCACAAGAGGGTTACTGTTATCGTGCAGACGTCACTATATTATATTTAGAGGTAATGCTTGAAAAGAAATCAAAGTATCTAGTAAATTGAAACGTGCCTTGTTCTTGAAGATGTTCTGTTCATTGCTGTTTGTGAGATACTTAGTGTAACTATGTTGTGTGCCCTACAAGGGAAACTACTCTGCTGTTCATGCTGGAGGAAGGCTCTCCAATAAAGGAACTCAGTATAAGTTGTGCTGGGCTACTGATCTACATTGCGAGTTGGTTCTGTGTCTTGTGAGTTATTTAAAGTATCTTGGTCTACCCTGTTTGATATCGACCATCCACACATTTACACCTAACATTTTCTTTGTTCCCAGTCAACTGTTCTATGACGGGTACAAAGACCTCGCTGTTGGTCTCGCAGCGATTATTCAGCCACATCCGGCATGTCCTCCCTCCGACAAGTTGCTCAAGATCGTCAAGTTGGGACTCAAGCATGATGAAGAAGGTATTGCTAACACAAATCGGACAAAACTCCCTGCAGTGATCAACACTTATTTTTTCCTTACATATAATGTTTTCTACTCTACCAATGAGAGGAAGGCAGAGAAGGAGATGGGAGGACAACATAAAAGAGTGGACAGGAAAGGCGATGGATGACAATCTGAGGAAAGCAGAGGACAAAAATAGATGGCGAGTGCTGGTTTTCAGATGAAGTGGTGCCCCCATGGTTGCCCCAACCACTGGATAGAATAAGAAGAAGATGAAGAATGAGTGGCACAAGCTGAAAATCTGTTTGATTGACAATAACCTGTGTAGTGGGATTTGGGTTAGTTCGGTTGGGTGTTTTGGTGGTTTTTATTGTTTTGTTGGGGGGAGTGTCTGTATCCATAGAGGTGAATTTTTCTGTACAGATTTCTTGAATGGCGTTTGTTTGTTTGTACACATATTCTTTTTTTGACTGAATATTATACTAGCATCAACAATGAAGCTTTGCTCTGACATCAGTTAATATCATTTACATCTTGTCTCCTCAGAGAACAAAGATGAACAAAACCTTGCTGGTGAAATAGTCCAACCAGGCTCCGGTATAGATTTAGAGTTTGAGACAGAAGGTATGTTTGTCTGTCCAAATGAGCTCCCAATATCTAGAACTACAAATCTCCATGTAGCTGGTATTATTTTGTACTTCTTTCAAACATTAATAATAGTTTCGATTTATGTAGTACATATTGTCATATTTCCCTCAGAAAGTATACTCTGTTCACTTTACAAATTACCCACGTATTATGTTCTTGGGAAGTATTCAGTGCAAGCTGCCATTTTACAAGTGCTCAAACATTTGATGTTGACGAGACCTTTCACGGTCATTAGCCAGATCCCCTTCTCTTCTGGATAAAGTGAAAAATTTTCATGTTAAGTATTTTTTTCATAGACGTCACATTGTGCCTATATGAAAATTCAAATGTGCGATCTTAAGGCAGTCTGACTACTAGATTACTGAATCAGAATGAGTGACAATTATCGTCTTGCGAAGCAGTAATTCGATGCAATGTCTTAGTACCATTTTGTTGATTTTATGGTGTATTCTGTTTCAGAGGCTAATTCTCGTTTTGTTTTTTTGTTTTTCCAACAATTTTTTAAAATGATTTTCTTATTTGATATCGTCTTGAGAGTGGGACTGATGTGAACAAAGATATATTGCATTTGATTTGGAGTCTACATAACTTGATAAGTAGACACCACGTGAGAGTAGTCCTACAATGGATTCCTGCCCACACTGGGATACCGGGAAATGAAAGAGCTGATGCTCTGGCAAAGAAAGGAGCTAGTCTCCCTCGGCCTGAAATTCCTCCGAATTACACCACCTGCTGCCAAATGATCAAGTCAAACCTCAAGGAAGAGTGGATGAATGATTGGGCCACAGGTACGACAGGAAGGAGGATGTATGGCCACATGAATAAACCACTGGTCAAAGATCCAATCAATGAGTTGAGGACGAGTAATCAATCCATAATCTTCCAACTTAGAACACGACATGTACCCCTCAACCAACATCTCAACCGAATTGGAGTAAAGCAGTCTGCTGCCTGCCCACTATGTGACTACCCCTCAGAGACAGTGGAACATCATCTGTTCTTCTGTAGAAAACTAACTGATTTAAGGGGATGTTTCCTTCCCAAGCTACCCCACACATCTAATTGCCTCTACTCCTCAAGACAACAATTAGAACAAACATGCAACTATTACCGAATGGCATCATGCAGAAGAGTTAACGCTCAGATGCTACTGGATCGCTAACAACAACAACAACAACAACATATCGTCTAATTTTTTAGAATCAACTCCCACTTGATTTTCACTGCTTTTTCTGTGGATCAAGCAAATAAAGTGAAGAAAATTAACTGAATTCATTTTTTTTTTTTATTAACATGTTAAGCAGTTCTTAGTTAAATGTTAATGCGGTGATGTTCCTAAGTTGAATACAACGCTCCTCATCTTAGCACATATATTTATATTGAAACTCATCTCCACTAATTAATTTTCTGCAATGGCAATATATTCTCTTTGTCTGTTTCCAGTTCAGAGCATCTCCCCAGAAGTGGCCTTGTACGAGACTTGCTACGTGACAGCGCACAAAGCCGCTTGCAGGACAGCCGCTTTCCACAGCACAGGTAGGAAGCTACTTGTACTCCTCGCTGGTCAACATGACTTGGCTCTTTCAGATTTTTTTTTTCTTTTGTTGCCAGGTCGCTCTAAAACTTCTGGGTGTTTCATGGTCCCCTGGTCCATTGAATCACTTACTTGAGTATTACTTCTTCAACTGGATGGTATTATTTGTGGGTCCTATTACTTTGGAGTCCCGTCGTTGTTTCTTTCTGTCTCTGTCTTTCTTTACAAATCAATTTTTAAAAATATATTGATGTTACTGACGTGCTTCTCTTTAACAGTAGCAGGCTTGCTAAGTATCCCGAATTTCCCCTAGACAGTAGTCCCAGATTCAGCCATAAAAGATTTGAGAGCCTTAACACTTATATTCTCTACCAAAACCGGTCCCACTCAATGTAACTGTGTTCGTTGTTATACCTGCCACCATTTTTTAAAGTACAGTATATTATACTATATGCAGTTTTTACAATTTTACAAGAGAGCCAAAAAAAAAAGGAATGTTGTTACCAAGAAAACATACTCTTTGCAAACATCCGACATCAAAATTTTGAAGTCTACAATTTTGATAATAACGTTTTTTATTATCTGTATAGTAAGTGTTGTTTCCTTGATAACAACATTCAGGTTTTTTTTTTACTGTCATGTAAAATTGTAACACTTTTTAAAATGAAGGCAGATACGTAATTGGATGTTATATAATGTTGGGTATCCCTGACTGGGTTAAGTTATATAAGAAAACGTTTGCAAGCTTGCATAGTGAAATTGTAGCTTGAAATATTATTTTTTTGTCTGTCTCCCTCAGGTCAGCTGATTGCTACTGGTTCGGCAGATGCCTCCATCAAGGTACAGCTTAGTGAATATCTTTTCTTCTTTCACCATTTGTTGTATTTTTGTTGAATCGTATTGGTGCATTATACTGAACACAGAACCAGGTCTGTTTGAGGGAGAGCAGTAATTTTAGGACCTGGGGCGAATGGTGTCAGTATGTGTCTAGTGTATTTGTTAGTGCTTAGAAAACATATTATTTGATATGTTTTTAGGTTCGGAGTACAGCAGTCCATTTTCGTATGTACAGGTAATTTGGTAAATTTTTGTTCTGTTTAATAGTACTACTCCTCTTGGACTTGTTGGCTTTGAAGAAGATTTATGAACTTTCAAGACTAGATTTGCAAATAATATGTAACCGAAGCCCATAAGTCAATTGGAGAGATCTTTTGCTGCAGATTTACTTTGATATCTCGCATTTATTGAATGCCGAAAAGTGGGTGAAAGGTTTGGAGTGGGGGGTTTTTTGGCCAATGCCCACCATCTTGTTCCATCATTGGTAAGTCTTTTTGGGGGGGTTTTAAAAAGTTGGCAGCTGTGATCTTGTATGTCTTTAGTGCTAAACATGCGATATCAATGTATAACATGTGATCTAAAGTACTGGACATCTTGTCTTTATCAATCAGTAGACATGGAGTGCATGATATCAATCAATGTACATTTTGTATGTCTCCCATGCTAAACATTGAGTGTGGTTGGTTGGCGGGTCGTTGCGTTTGGTTTACTCCTTTTTTCACATCAAACATCTGTCGTCCTTAATCTCACCTCATTTTATTTGCTTGTCACTCTCTAGTAACAGCTCTAATCTTTGGCATTTTCATGACGTTATTGTGTTGCAAGTGCCGTAGAACTCTTACCAACACTTACACTAAATATTGAGTGCATGACATCATGACATTTGTATTTGTACACACACACACACCCTCAGGTCCTAGACGTGGAGCGCATGTTGTCCAAAAGCGCCACACCGGCCGACGTGATGGCCCTGGAGACCCCTCAGCAGCAGATGGAGAACCATCCGGTCATCCGGACTCTCTACGACCACAACGGGGTGAGCACCAGTTTGACCCTCTCAGAAACTCTTCGAATAGGAAAAGAAAAAGAGGAAGCTAACGGATCAAGGGGTGACCCCGAAAAGAGACATATTACTTTACTATATTATATCTTACTCTTTCTTTTTATTGTTTGACATTATTTAATTTTATTGTTATTATTATCATTATTATTATCACTTTTCTTTTCTCCTGTCTTCGTCAACAACCTCCAGACATACAGCTATTACAGAATGGCATCATGCAGAAGAGTTAACGCTCAGATGCTGCTGGATCCCTAACAACAACAGCAACAACGACCCTGACAGAAAATGTTTAATTTTTGTGTGGCAGCGTTGTTAGATCCAATTATTTCGCATCACACTCTGAATGGCTTTTTGAAGTGATGTAGTCTTTTGGATCAAATGAGCTCTAGTAACTGACAGTAAAAATATAAATTGATGTCTTCGCAATTGCGATAAAAAATATAAAACTCTGGCGCTCTTATGACCTTATGCAGTTGCGAGCGATCATTAATTTAGGTGGCCACTTTGGAAAGATGACCGTTAAGGCAGGTTCGATTGTACTTACAAAAGAAAAGAGCTGTAAGAAGGCTTCAAGTGCAGTGATGCTAATATCTTTCAAGCATTTTTTCCACGACTCGTTTATACTCTTTCTTACTAAAATCATGTGATCCAGACATTTTATGAGAGTGATTAGGTGCAAGTGTCCTCACCAGTTCTGTCTTGATGTCGGTGATATTGCCGCTGTAAAATCAAGATTGAGTCCTGAAGTTAAGCGCTGTTTACCTTTAATTTCTCTTCCGACCTTTTTCCAATGTTTCATTTTTCTTCTTTCCTGAGCTCAGTGAAGCCAGAACCCTTCTGGCTCTGAATGGGTCTTTTAGTGCCCTAAAGTTTATCTGAAATGTATCTTCAGGAGTGTAGTGTGATCGTTTCACTTTGAAGGAAGTATCGGCGGTGGAAATATTTGAAGACTACAGGGGTAAAATGACGGTAGTCGCAAAGTGAAAATCGTGAGGGTACCAATTTTGAAAGCTTGTTGACTCATAAATGTATTTCTGTCCAACTGTAGGCTGATTATTGTTGTTAGATTTCCCATTCAACAACACTTAACAATAAACCACCTGTCAAACAAATGTGAAGTTATGAGTCCACAAGCTTTCAAAGTCGGCACCCTCACAATTTCCAGTTCGTGACTCCCGTCGTTTTTCCCTTGTGCTCTTCATTTATTATCAGATTTGTTTTTGTTCTGTTGCCAGGAAGTGACCTGCCTCGACTTCCACCCGTTTGTACCGGTGCTGGCCTCAGGAAGTGACGACTTCAGCATCAGGTTCTTCGAGTACTCCAAACCTTCGGTGAAGAAAGCCTTCAAGAGCATACAGGTAAGTACTGTTGACGTCGGTTGGTGTCCGTGGTCTTGTGGTTAGGCTGTTGGGCTCGCAAATGAAAGGTTGTGGGTTCGAAGCCCGACATGGGCCTGACGTTGTGTCTGTGGAAAAGGTGTTGTACACACATGTTTCCTCACTTCACCCAGGTGGGAATAGGTACCCGGCTGTAGACAATGAAAGATCTTGTCAGTTTGTTAGCCTTTGAGCGCTTAACGAGCTGCTTGCTCTGTATGCTTCCCAGGAAGTCGAGAATGTTTTTGAGTATTCTAGGATCTGCTGAGGTAAGATATAGGTTATAAAGCGCATAGAGCATGCTGCTGAGTGAGGGCATGCGCTATACAAATGCTATTTATTTCTTAGTCACACAAGTCTAGCGAGAACACAGTGTGACCACAGTATCGTTGTGCACGTGGTGAATAGGCACTGTGGGTGGTTGGCATGTTCTCTGGTGTGGTTTGCTTCTTCTTTCCTATCAAACATATGTCGTCCTGATCTCTCCTCTTTCTTTTTTGCGTTTGTTGCTCTCTTGTATCACCTCTAATCTTCAACATTTCCTTGACATTATTGTCTTGCAAGTGCTTTAAAACTTATTAAAACACGAAAATTAACAGGCTCTGTTATCATGTTTGAGTTATTCTGCTCTCTCAATATTATGAACATGTTTTTTTAAAGACCGTTTTAGTTGTGAACTTCAACACAAGTCTTATAGTTTATTTATGTGTAAAAGAATTAAATTAATTAATAAATTCACTTACTTGCAATATGCTGTGTGTCTGAAGATGAAGCAGTAGAACAATTTTATTTTGATGAGAATCTATTCATTTGGGATATAAATTTATTTATTGTAGTCGCTGAAATCCTAAAAATAATTAACTTTGGCTGTAAAGTATTTTATCAAGATCACTATTCTTAGGGAGACCTGGAAAAAAGTTCACTTGACTTGTTATGATATGGTAATGTATAAACATTGTGAAGTTTGAAGCGTCTTCCAATTTTTTATCAACTCTGTTTGCAGTGAAAAATGATTTTGATCTGTTTAGATATATTAACGAATTATGTTTTTTCATACAATTATATGTGAATGTCGCTGAGCCTTTAAATCAAATTGCATCCTGTCTTGTGTTGAAAGTACTGCCATCCAAAATATGTGAGGTGTGCTGACAAAATGAGTTACTTCTCGCAATTCAAGAATGGAGAAAATCAACATTTGTGGGAGATTTATAGATTTTCAGTTGATGCCATTTCGTTCAAGTCTACCGTGTCTTTTATTATTCCATACTTACAAATTGTACAAACTCCACCTATAAAGTTAATATATCAATTTCCACGGCTAAAATCCGAAAGAAGTAACTCATTTTGTCTGCACAACTCACATATATTATAGCTATGTCAAATGCTTGCTGAAATGTCATCATGAGATATCTTAAATTTTCTAGGAAGCCTCGGCTTTGTCGCAGATCACCTTTCACCCTGGTGGAGAGTTCCTCTTGGCTGGCACACGGCACCCCACAAGTCAGTAGCTGCTGTCAATAGTTCACTACCTCAGAATTACTAAGTTTTATCTGTCGTTTTTTTGGCTGTTTTTGAGTTGCCAAGACCATGAGGTCAGAAACCGAATGTTCTATAATCTGCTCTGTCAAAACCGTAAGATTATTCATAGTCGTTATCAAGATATTCAAAGAATTTTTCATTCGAAAAAAGCCTGACATGTTGAGAAACTCAAAATGTTTTACGTCAAATTTCCCAAAACTAGATACTGTGCAGATATTTTAGTGTAGAGGTTTGTGTCACATAAATTTCCACTTAGATATATTTGATATGTTTTGATTTTTTAATATTAAAATAAATATTTAAACTCCTGTGAGAAACTGTCTACTTGTAGGCCTATGTGTCTTAGAAGAAGAAAGTTCTTATTCTCCCTTTTGGTTGTGAATCAGTTGTCTCGGTAAGCTTTAAAGTGGGTGGTTGGTGGGTGCTCTGGTTTGGTTTTCTCCTTCTTTCCTATCAAACATCTATCGTCCTTATCTCTCCTCCTTCTTTTTTTGTGTTTGTTACTCTCTTGTAACACCTATAACCTTCGGCACTTAATGACTTTTTTGTGTTGCTAGTGCTGTAAAAACTCTTACTTTTTAAACTAAACTGAGCTTAGAAAAATACAGACGTAAATCAGATTCCGACCTTTCGCATGAGTGCACAGTGTAGCAGGCCAGTATTGTAATTATTTGAGTGGTGGGCACATTGTTACCCCTGTTAGTCGACGACAATGCTGGCAAACCTTGTTTATGTTCCCATTAGGGTGTTCTTATTTTAAGACGTTTCATGGCTTGTGATTGTTATTGGGTATCATGGGGGGTAATGATGCAGTTTTAAGTGTTATTTGTGTGGAAAGTGAGATGTTAAAGGATTTCATTTTTTTCTTCTTTTTTTTTTGGGGGGGGGGGGTTGTTTGTTTGTTGTTTTTATCTTTCAGCTCTGACTTGTTAGGCTTTTCATGTTGGTGACAAATTATTGATTTTGGACGTTTGTTTTGTTTTGTACTTGTTTCTTTGTATTCCTAAATCTTTAGATTACCCCCCGGGGCGGTGCCACTGACTGAAGTGTCTTTAGGCCATTCCCAAAGGGGGGACTTTTCTCGTTCATGCACGGTAGAATTGTAAATGGGCTGATTCATCATGTCACGCTCATAACTGTGCCTGATCTACAACAGGGAACTGCTGCTTTTTCTTTCTTAATCCTTACTATTGTCATTTTCCTCTACTTCTTTTGAATGTTTGTCACACTCTTGTGACCCGCTATTTCCGGGGTGCCTTGATAGTCGAAGCAGACTTTGTGCTGTTGAAGCTAGAGAGGGGAGCAGAGTAAGTCTGATTCCTTGTAAGGACTTCTCTGATGACACCCACCCCTTGGCGCTCATATGACCTTATGCAGTTGCGAGTGCTGTAAAACCTTTACTAAAACTATTTTAAAAATCTTTAGGTTTGAAAAATTTCTTTTTCAGTCCGCCTGTACGACGTGAATACGTTTCAGTGTTTTGTGGGCAGCAATCCTCAGGACCAGCACACAGGAGGAATCACAGGGGTAGGTGGCGCTTCTTCTTCCTTTTTGTCTGCTGCGTCACCGCCAGTCGAGAATGTTTCCGAGTATTCTGGGGTCTGCTGGGGTAATAGTTTAGTTGTTAGTTTCAGTAGAGGATTTACGGCGCTGGGGTAATCATATATGTAAATTGTAAAGCAGGTGACGCTTGCTGTTTAGCGGGAATATGTACCGTAAAATGCTATTTATATATAATTTTATTATCTTGACGCGTTGTTGGAGGGTGCATCTGACTTTCCCTCCTTTACTATTTTGATATTATCAACACTTCACTTTGTCTTAGTGGGTGGCTGGCAGTCGCTTTGGTGTGGTTTGCTCCTTCTTTCCTATCAAACATCTATCCTGGCGCTCATATGACCTTATGCAGTTGCGAGCGCCGTAAAACCCTCTACTATAAAAAAAGATTTTAAAACCCATCTATCCTTCTTATCTCCCCTCTTTCTTTTTTGTGTTTGTTACTCTCATGTAACACCTCTAATCTCCGGCACGTATATGATCATCTTATTCTGCTGCAAGTACCGTAAAATGCTTGCTAAAAAAAACAAAAGCCAGCTCTTGTAACACGACCTCTAATCTTCAGCACTTGTGTTGCAAGTGCCGTAAAACTTACTATAACTAAACCAAATTTCCCAACAGGGATCAATAAAAGTAGATTTTATTTTATTTACTTATTTCTATTTATTTATTTGTTTCTATTTATTCATTTATTTCTATTTGTTTATTTATATATCTTTATTTATTTATTATTTATTTCTATTTATTTATTTGTATATTTGTATTATTTATTATTTATATCTATTTATTTATATATTTGTATTTATTATTTATTTATTTTTATTTATTTATTATTTGTATTTATTTATTATTTATTTCTATTTATTTATTTATTTATTTATATATTTGTATTCGTTTATTATTTATATCTATTTCCTCCCTTGTAGCTGAAGTGGAGCCCCAACGCCAACATGTTTGTGTCGTGCTCCATGGACGGCTCCATCAAGCTGTGGGATGGGGTGAGCCACAAGTGCATCAACACCTTCTACAAGGCTCACGACAGCAAGGAGATCTGCTCCGTCGCTTTCAGCCGCAACTCCAAGGTAGGTGGAATCATGGTGTAAAAAGAGAGGACTGTAAGGTGGGTGGAATCATGGTGTAAAAAGAGAGCTCTAAGGTTGGTGAAATCATGGTGTTAAAAGAGAGGACTGTAAGGTGGGTGGAATCATGGTGTAAAAAAGAAAACTGTAAGATGTGGAATCATGGTGTTAAAAAGAGAGAACTCTAAGGCTGGTGGAATCATGGTGTTAAAAAGAGAGAACTCTAAGGCTGGTGGAATCATGGTGTTAAAAGAGAGGACTGTAAGGTGGGTGGAATCATGGTGTAAAAAGAAAACTGTAAGATGTGGAATCATGGTGTTAAAAAGAGAGAACTCTAAGGCTGGTGGAATCATGGTGTTAAAAGGGAAAAGAATTTGAAGTTTATAAGATAAGATAAGGTAATATACTTTATTATCCCAGACGCAAATTTTTCTTGACTGTACGGGACCGTAAAAACACATGCAGGTATACTTAAAAAAATTTAATTATATCTTACTCTCATTAAAATTCAATATGAAAAGAGAAGTAAAGCTTGCAAAATGTACATTCACATCAAATGCATCATTTTCACGTTGGATTGTATCCTATTTTTAAAATGTTTTTTTGGGTTTGATTCTTTTTGGGTTTTTGTACTGTGTCCTATTTTTTGGGGTGCCAAATGTTAGTTAAGTAGTATGGCATTAAATTTTTACCCCAAAAATATGGGGGAAAAAACAGCGCTCTTTCTGTCATTCACTCTTTCATCCACCCCCTTCTACCCTCCCTCAGGAAATGCCATACGGTCGTGTCCCTACTCTTTTTTTTTTTGTCCTCAGTACGTGGTGTCTGCGGGAAAAGACTCGCTGGTCAAGCTGTGGGAGCTGTCGACCAATCGCTGCCTGATCGTCTACACGGGGGCGGGAGCTACGGGAGGCATGGAGCATCGCACAGTGGCCTGCTTCAACCACACCGAGGATTACGGTGAGTGACTTCCTGGACGAGAGAGAGAGAAATTATCAACGGCCAGCCAGCCGTATAAAAGTTCTAAGCCGAGGACGCAAAATTTTCTGGAGAGAGAAAAGACAGTTTCATTCTTTTTACAATTGGTCGCTTTTTGGGGCAAGCGGGCCAACCCAGATTTCGGGGTTTTCCAGAAATCTTGACCTACACCAAAAGTAGACATTGCCTTACCTATAGAAGTTTGGTTTCATTGCTGTGTATATTTGTTTGGTTATAGAGAAAACTCTCCTTGTCTTTTAAAGAAACTGAACAAGGAGCAAAAACTTTACCATTGGTTTTCTCAAAACAGCATTTTTTGGGATAGCCCCCTTGTGCTTAAAAGCGACCGATTGTCCTTTCGTTGTGTATCTTTTATTACTTTTTCCATGAATTAAGAATCCGAATTTCAGTAATATACTGGGTGATTAAAAAAGAATGAACTGATTTTATGATGCATTGCTTTTCAGTTCTCAAGCGTCGTTATGGAATGAGTCTGTGACCATTTGAAAGAGGAGTTATCTATCTTTTGAATAGCCGGGCCCCAGTGATGGATTGGTCAGAAAGGAGGGACTAAGCTTGAGTTTTCCATTGTTTTTCCTTATTAAAATATTGTGATATGAAATCGGTTCACATTCTTTTTTAATCACCCTGCTTTTCTGTTTCTCGTGTTCCTCAGTTCTGTTCCCCGATGAGAAGACCACATCCCTGTGCTGCTGGGACTCTCGGAACGCCGAGCGACAACGCCTGCTTTCCCTCGGTGAGTGTGTGCTAGCAGAATTCTCAACATCCTCTTCTCCTCAAGATTTGTTCCGTGGGTGGTTATCAGGTGCTCTAGTGTGGTTTGCTCCTTCTTTCCTAACATGAAGTTATGATTCACAGAGGTTGGGGGGGGTCGAAAGTCTTCTTGCTTCAGGCAGAGAGAAACAGAAGGAAAACTTGCCACGGTGCACAGATCAATATGTTGTTTTGTTTTAGGTTTTCGTAATCTTTCATTATTTCAGTCATCATGCTGACTCATTTTTAAAAAACCCGTCTCATTATCATGGTAATGTTGCCTCCTCTTTTTTTTAATCATCCGAACATAAAAAGAAACAAGTTACTGCTTCTGAGTAGGAGCCCAGTACCCCACAGAAACTCTTTTAGTTTTAGTAAGAGCTTTACACCACTTGCAACACAATAAGGTCGTATAAGTGCCGAAGATTAGAGGTGTTACAAGAGAGTAACAAACACAGAAAAGAAGGAGGGAAGATAAAGACAATAGATGTTTGATAGGAAAGAAGAAGCAAACCACACCAGAGCACCCGCCAACCACCCACACAGAAACTCTGTCGTAGAAATTCTGTGGTCTGCAAAGTTTGAACATGGCATCCTAGAGCCACAAACTCTACCCGACAGTTCAGTTCAAGAAACCGGGGGATGCCATATTTTTCTAAAAATCTTTTTGCTTTTCCATCAAACATCTATCGTTCTTATCTCTTCTCCTTTTTGTGTTTGGTATTCTCCAGTAACATATTTAATCTTCAGTACTTTTATGACCTAATTGTGCCGCCTGTGCCGTAAAACTCTTTACTAAAACACAAACACAACTCAAACAATTCCTGGTTAAAACATAGCCGTTTTCATGCAGATTTTTTGTTTGTACTGGCCAGACCATCAATGATTTATTTATAGAGGCACCAGCCATCTCCGCAACTCAATAATGCAGCGATTTTGTTGAGGATTTCTCAGAAAAGGTTTTTTAAATTTTATTTTGTGATGGTAAACAGTTCCAGGATTGTACTCTGAACAAAACGTCCCATCAGAACTATTTTCTCCAAAGTGTACATAAGTAAGTAAAGAGTGCACTTTGGACAAAATAATTCTGAGGCAACGAAATGTCTTTTAACCCTATCCGTACGCCCTGGGGTCATTTTGCACCCCTGGGGGTTGTATTCTTCACGTTTTAGAGTACTTCTAGTGAGAAGATCTCTTTGAAACTTTCAGTATTTCTAAAAAATCATTTTGACAGACTGCTGTGCAAAGCGTACGGATCGGATTAACAAGTAAATTTCCTCTTTGGAAAGTGGTGGCACAGAGTTCCCCACGTCATATAGATACGATAGTAAAACACGACGTACGGATAGGGTTAAAGTATTTCCTCGAGAGGGTTTACATCTCTCTGCTTTATGTGCTGGTTCTCCTTTGTTGCTTAACCTTTAAGCGCAGCCATATTATTGCAGGCAGCCTCACAAAACTGAACGTTTTGTTATTGCACCTTTATGTCAGGTTCAAACTGGTTCCTACCTTTTATTTAAGTTGGCTGAACATGAGGTTTACCAATATCTTCAGTTTTCAAGATCAGAAGGATTTTTTTTCCCCCCGTCTTTTTGCTTCATCACATTCACGATGAAATGTACTTTAACTTTGTGCTTTTTCCATGAGTGGAGGAGGGGGAAGGGGTAGTTGTTGTTTGTTTTGTTTTTGTTTTTTGTTTTGTTTTGCTAGTGAACACTCTAGATGAAATGCGCTTGGGTTTTTTTCTTGAAGGAATAGAGTGGGATGTTGCTGTTTTTGTTTGGGGGGAGGGGGTTGTCTGGGTTGGGTATGGGTTTTTTTTCACTTTAACTTTTTACTTTTTCATGAAAGGGGGGGGTTGTCTCATTCTTGATGAAATGTACTTTTAACATTGTGCATTTTTCATGAAGGAATAAGGTGTGTGGGGGGGAAGGGTGTGGTTGCATCCCATTCTTGATTAAACGTACTTTAACTTTGTGCTGAAGCTGAGGTCTTGTGTTTGAGTGAAGATCAGGGGAGAGAACCGGCGGCTATTTGCTGACCAGCCCGATCCTGATGGCCCCTTTTGTTTTGGGGGGTTTTTTTATTCCTTTTAGTGGGCAGTGGTCCGTGAAGCCACAAGTATTGATTTTGTCCCCCCATTGTCTTCAAGTTTTTCATTCTCTCCCCGCGGCTGTCAGAGAAGCATTGGCTAGCTTTGTTTTAGAGGGTTTTGCCGCAGGGGAAACATTTTATGGAGCCGGGAGCCTGGCATTCTTGTACCCATTGTTCCGCGGCCTTTGAGTGAGCGGGCACAAAAACACACACAGGAAGTGAGAGTAAATGTTTTACTGCACCGTAATGCCTGCTATAACGTGACGGGTCTTCAGGTTTACTGCTCTACGCCAGCTCTTTTTGTTGTTCAGAATAGATGGGGGGGGGGGTTTGGTGGGTTTTTTTGGGGGGGGTTTTATGGGGTTTTTTAAAGCAACGTTTGATGTGTAGATTTAACTCTTTAAACCCTGAGTTTTTTCCACCGGTTTCCCGGAGTTTTTTTCTACAGTCACCTAAACTTGGTGCACTATGTCTCATTATAACTAACTCCAAAAGCTTGCCTCCAACTTCTAAGTGGCAGAAACAAAGTCTTAGTCATTACTAAAAAACTTTGTTCCGGAATAGTTCCGAAAAACAAGCAAGAACTAGCACTAAATAAAACGAAACAGTTGTCACTAGTGGCGGATGCTACCAGCGTCTGATGGGGAACACGGCTATTACCGCTGGACGCTCCCAGTGTCCGATGGGGAACATGGCTATTACCGCTGGACGCTCCCAGTGTCCGATGGGGAACAGGGTTATTACCGCCGGACGCTCCCAGAGTCCGATGGGGTTTAAAGAGATAAGAGAAATGTAGGTGGGGTTTCTTTTTTATGCCCCCTTCTACACAATTTAGGTCACTTAGGTAAGGAGGTCATTTAGAAGGTGGTCTTCTGACCTTGCCTATCAGGGCAACTTGGTCTGAGAGGGAAGAGGGAGACAACGGCCCGGCAAAAAGACTGAGATACTTGATGAAATTCTCCCCAAACAGGAATCGAACTCGGGTCTGCTGCGTGTGACAGCAGAGCTTCAGTGGGAGAATAAAATTACCCAGTGCGAGGTTGTTTTTATTTTATAGTAACCATGACAACAAGTATATATATATATATATATATATATGTATATATGTGTGTGTGTTTTCTCGGCAGGTCACAACGGGGTCGTTCAGTACCTGGCGCACTCACCCACCGGCCCCGCCTTTATCTCGTGCAGCGATGACTTCAGGGCGCGCTTCTGGTACCGGAAGGCCACCACTGATTGATTGGGGAGCATTTGAGGGTGTGTGTGTGGGTGAATGAGTGTGTGGGTGGGGGGTGGGGGGGTGTATGTGTGTGTCTTTGTATGTGTATGTGTGTGGGAGGATGTGTGCGTGTGTATTTTGTATGTTTGGGAGAGAGTGAGTGAGATAGACAGTGATATCATTGCTGCCACAAGCAATCCACTTAAGTCCAAATTTTGAGAATTTTCATTTTTTACACCCTTCATAAGCTCTATAAAAGTGCACCCGTTCAGCTTCACCAAATTGTGGTTTAATGCTATGGTCAAAGCTTGTAACTTTTTTGCTTTTTTCATGATTTCTGATAGGCACAACACAACAAAAACTAGATTTTTTTTTTCTCTGGTGTAAAAAGTACCCTCACAGACTTAATAAGTGGATTACTTGTGACACCAATGATAGGTGTGTGCGTCTGTATGTTTGAGAGAGAGAGAGAGAGCGAGTGATATGTGAGACATGCTGACAAAATGAGTTACTTCTCGCAATCCACAAATTGAGATATTGGCCTAAAATCGATACTAGAGTCAAGTTTGTAGATTTTGTATTGATGCCATATTCTTTAAACATAACATGCTTTTTATTATTCCATACTTCTAAACTGTAAAAACTTCACCTATAAGTGTGATGTATCTATTTCAATAAGGCATGAATCCGAGAAGCAACTCATTTTGTCAGCGCACTTCACATATGATCTGTGCGCTGGTACATGTATATGCATGTGTAAAAATGAGGGAGAGTTGTTTCTTTTTAATGCACTGAGAATGGTTCAAAATACAAGCTCATTTGTATTTTCACTTTTGTCATTTCCTTGACCAAGTTCACGTGTTTGATGTAAGAGTGAGAGATTTTTGTATTCTGCACAATTTTTTGTAGGTCGTCAGGGTAGGTTTTGGTAGTCATAGACGGTTGTTTCAGGCAAAATGTGGTCATGGTTGTGGCCTTTGGCTGTGTGCTCTGTAAGAATTTGTTGACGGCGAAATTTGTTAAAACCCTGACAGATAAAGTGACTTTGCATTGTTCTCTCTATCTAATCAAAAAAAAGCATCTTCCCGGGACTATGAAATAGGGCCTACAGGGGAAACTGTCTAAGACTACTAGTAAGACACCCACACTTTGTTGAGAAGAAAAGTGATTATTTTACACAGGCGGACTTCCAGGACAGTGTCATTGTATGTAAAAACAAAAATGATACAAAAGTGGGTAGGGGAATGAAAAGTGGCCGTTTGTACAGGTGATTACATTACACAGGTGGCTGAAAGAGCAGGTTCAACTGTACGTCCTTTTGCGTTTGACTCTCCCCCCTTCCCCTTGTTGGTTGTATTTTTTCTCAATGCATTGTATAAATTGTTCTTGCAGTATCAGAAAAGACAATGGAAAGGTCGCAAAATTTGGTCTCTTCCTTTAAACAGGGCAATTTGGTTTTTAATGATTACATCAGATGTGTGCGTTTGTCTTCTGCTGTATGAACTGTGTGTATTGTCATTATGATGAAACTGTTGATGTTGTTTTATTGATTCACTCTTGCTCCATTCTGCATACTTGTTTTATCATGTCAAATTTTACACTGCCAGTTTGTGTATGAATCAATAAATTAATGTTAAAAATATAATATGTGACTTTTCATATTTTCCTTTCTTTGTTACTGTCATCAGTTACTTTCACTTACTGAAGTTGCTGATTTCACTGAAAGTACTAGGCACATTCTTAACTTGTATGCATGGGTGGTTGGCGGGTGCTCTGGTTTGGTTTGCTTCTTCTTTCCTATCGAACATCAATCTTCTTTATCTACCTTCCTTCTTTTTTGTGTTTGTTACTCTCTTGTAACACCTCAAATCTTCGGCCCTTATATGACCTTATTGTGTCGGAAATGCTGTAAAACACTTACTAAAACTAAAACTAAACTCTCACTTACTCAAGTTGCTGATTTCACCAAAAGTACAAGGGCACTCCACTATTAATATATTATAATTGGTCTCCTGCCAGATTGGCGAATGAATTGCCCTGGTTCAAATCTCCAACAAGGCGTTCTTGAACTCAGTTCATTTTGTAAAGTTTTCAAAGTTCTCAACCCCCATTTGGGTGGGTTCTTTAGGAGATGGGTGTTAAATTTGGAGGTCCTTCCTCTGAGATATCGAAAGAATGTTGAAAGGGGTTTGACCTTAATTAGTGGATGGTGCTCTGGTGTGGTTTGCCCCTTCTTTCCAATCAAGCATTTATCGTTCATATCTCCCTTCCTTTAAAAAAAAATAATAAATTTTTAATTTGGTTTTTTTTTGGGTTTTTTTGGGTATGCTACTCTCTATCAATAAAGTGCAAGTTGGAACCCACAGGGTAAAAGATCAAGGGGAAGACCACGTGGAACCTGGAGAAGAGTCACGGAAATTGATATACAGAAAAGTGGGAAGACGTGGAGTGACATCAAGCGACTAGCCCAGGATAGGGAAAGGTGGAGAGTGTTTGTTCGTGGCCTGTATCCTGACCCAGGGTGAGAAAGGCAATCATGATGACTCTCTATGAATACTTCTAATCTTCAGCACTTACAATATGACCTATTGATGTTGAAAGTACCCTTGCTGTCTACCACACATGGGCCAAGGCTCGCTCTGTATGAGAGCTCAGCTTTAACTTCTCAAAGAAGAGAAGAAAAGATATAAAAGACACCTCGCGGGTAGATGCAACGAGTTGAGTGTGGTGTTTAACCCTATCCGTACGTCGTGTTTTACTATCGTATCCATACGACGTGGGGAACTCTGTGTGCCACCACTTAACCCTATCCGTACGTCGTGTTTTACTATCGTATCCATACGACGTGGGGAACTCTGTGTGCCACCACTTAACCCTATCCGTACGTCGTGTTTTACTATCGTATCCATACGACGTTAGGAACTCTGTGTGCCACCACTTAACCCTATCCGTACGTCGTGTTTTACTATCGTATCCATACGACGTGCCACCACTTTCAATTAATCCGATTCGTACGCTTTGCATAGCAGGCTCTCAAAATGATTTTTTGAGAAACACTGACAGTTCCAAAGAGATCTTCGTGCTAGAAGTATTCTAAAATGGGAAGAATACAACCCTGGGGGTACAAAATGACCCCAGGGCGTACGGATAGGGTTAATACTGCTGGTGTCCTTCATAATGAGGCCCATTGATGTGTCCTTGGTTACAGTGTCCAAAGTGGGCGTCCTTGGTTACATAGAGGCGTCCTTGGCTATAATCCCCCATAACATGTCCTTGGTTACAGACCCCAAGCAGATGGTTGGTTAGAGGGCGCCACTGGTAGGTCCTACTTCTTTACCTACGTCTCTGTTGCTCCTGTCTGTCTTACTTTTTTCCAGCACGAAATGGCCATTATTGTGTCGATGTGCTTTTGTTCACTCAAAAAACCAAAGAAAAAGTCATTGAACTTATACCAAGAACACAAAGGAACAGATTATCGCTTCAATCATCAAGTTTCGCGTCTATCGATCTCTTTGTGCTGTGTTTCCGGATCCGTTAACTCCAAGAATGAGAATGAGCGTGGCGGCCATTGTTGTGAGCCTGCACAGAAGTAAAAAAGTCAGATCGTGATTGTGGCTAGGACCCGGATGTTTGGGGATCGTCAACGGCTGTGTGCTGCGTGCATGTCGTTCGCATCATCTTATCAGATTGAGAGAGAAGAAGAGAGAGAATCTTATCAGATTGAGAGAGAGGCAGAGAGAGAGAGGGGGGTAGGATGATGAGAGAGCGGGGGGATAAGGGGGCAAGAAGAGAGAAAGAGGGTGGAGGGAGGATGATGAGAGAGTGGGAGGGGGATAAGGGGGCAGGAAGAGAGAGAGAGAGAGAGAGAGAGAGAGAGAGAGAGAGAGAGAGAGAGAGTGTGTGTGTGTGTGTGTGTGTGTGTGTGTGTGTGTGTGTGTGTGTAGAACGAAAGAGAAGGAAGGGGGGGGGGCGAAGAAGGGGGAGAGAAAAAGAGAGAGAAACAGAGATCCTGTTTTTGTAGACTGACGAGAGACAGGGCGTGCTTTTGCAATCTCTCTCGGTCTGTCTGTCTCTGTCTCTTTTTTTGTCTGTCTGTCTGTCTGTCTGTTTGTTTGTCTGTCTGTCTATCTGTCTCTTTCTCTCTCTCTCTCTCTCTCTCTCTCTATATATATATATATATATATATATATATATATATATATATATATATATCACAAACACACACACACACACACACACACACACACACACACACACACACACACACATAAAAAGGGAGAAAAAAGACAGATAGAAAAGAGAGAGAGAGGGGGGGGGACTGGGAAAGGGGGGAGGGGGGGCGGTGCCTTCTTATCATGCCCAAGGACAAAGAAGGCATCGATCTATTTGAGTTTTCGTCATCACTGATCACAACCATTGAGCTGACGATCATTAATCGTAAATTGTAAAGCATTCTCTTTGCCTTTTGCCCTTTATTTTTTCTGTATAGTTTCCAGCATCATTGATAATGTATTGTGTTTCGTTCTTTTATCAGAGACAATCAGTTACACTTTGGTTGGGCTAAGTGTTACTGTCAACGACAATAGGACCCGTCGCTCTTTAAGTAACACACTTTTCAAATATGCTTCGATCGAGTCTAACCCTCCTGTCCCGATGAAATGAAGTACACGTATACTTGCAAGGGTAGTCAATTTTTAAAAATGTAATTAATGTAGGTGTTTTTTACGTCCTCATCAACACAATATAAACGATTAAGCTGTCCCCGCGGTTTTATGCTTTTTAAAAAATCTGAAATTATGCAAACTGAGCCCAAAAATGTGAAATTATGCGATTCTGTTAATTTTAGCAAAGAATGATAAAGGAAAATAATCAGAAATTATGCAAAAATGATCAAATTTTGCTAAAGTATGCGGGGTGCATAAAACCACGGGGACAGATTTAGGAGGCATGCTTCCTAGCATTGATGCCGGGCCCAACTCGGATTGAGAGGGATACAACTTTCTAGCTGACAGTCCTGGCGGCTGAGAGGGATACAACTTTCTAGCTGACAGTCCTGGCGGCTGAGAGGGACACAACATCCTAGCACACAGGCCCGGGCTGAGAGTGAGAGGGATACAACATCCCAGCAGACAGACCTTGGCTGAGAGGGATACAATGTCCCAACAGACAGTCCTGGGCTGAGAGGGATACAACATCCCAGCAGACAGACCTGGGCCGAGAGGGATACAACATCCCAACAGACAGACTCGGGCTGAGAGGGATACAACATCCCAGAAGACAGGCCCGGGCTGAGAGGGATACAACATCCCAGCAGACAGACCCGGGCTGAGAAGGATACAACATCCCAGAAGACAGACCCGGGCTGAGAGGGATACAACATCCCAGCAGACAGACCTGGGCCGAGAGGGACCGGGATACAACATCCCAGCAGACAGACCCGGGCTGAGAGGGATACAACATCCCAACAGACAGACCGGGCTGAGAGGGATACAACATCCCAACAGACAGACTCGGGTTGAGAGGGATACAACATCCCTCCAGACAGACCCCGGCTGAGAGGGATACAACGTCCCAATAGACAGGCCCGAGCTGAGAGTGAGAGGGATACAACATCCCAACAGATAGACCAGGACCGATAAGGATACAACATCCCAGCAGACAGACCCGGGCTGAGAGGGATACAACATCCCAGCAGACAGACCCGGGCTGAGAGGAATACAACATCCCAGCAGACAGACCCGGGCTGAGAGGGATACAACATCCCAGCAGACAGACCCGAGCTGAGACTACTGAGAGGGATACAACATATCAACAGACAGACCGGGGTTGAGAGGGATACAAAATCCCAACAGACAGACCTAGATATTCGATTTTTTTTTAAACCAACATATTATTATCAATTATCATACAAAACGATCTTTGTTATTATCCCTAAAGATTCTGTCTAACATCCCCACTCAAGAATCGAAGTAAGGTCTCTGCGTGCGATAGTGAAGCGCCTAACCACTGCACCACAGACAACGTGCGGTGTCGTCCTTTTGAAGCAGAGCCCAATGTTTTATTGTTTGAATCGATATCTCTAAAACAAAACAAAACAAAACAAAGTACATGTAAAACAAAACAACAACAAAAACGAGAAGAAAAAAAATTCGGTTAAACCCATGATTTAGGTTGACGAAGCATTTTTTAGAATCGTTCACTTTCACTAGCTCGAGAGTGGAATTAACGATGGTTTGCTACGATAATGTTTGCTCTCTAGAAATAATCCTTTTTAAAGAGTCGACTAGGATCCACTCGCAATTTCACAGATAATGTGCCCAGTGCCGATAACAATCTTTTGTTGTTTCGTTTCTCCAATCGAACTTCTTTTTGAACAATCTTTGTTTCTTCTCTTTTACCAAAGATTCTCTACAACGATCTTTGCTTTTGCTTTGACTTCGACGTCTTTGTATGTGAAATAAATTGCTCCATCAAACCGCACAAGTAATATCTACGTGTCACCACTGACATTTTCGAGGACGTTTCATTGTACATGTATTATCTCAAGTAAAGGAATTGTCTTCCTATAGTTTCTCTTTCTCTCTCTCTGTCTATATGTCTCTCCCCTCTCTCTCTCTCCCTCTCTCTCTCTCTCTCTCTCTCTCT